TGCATAAACACTTTCTGCCATCTCTGCTGGTGTCTCCCAGGATGCAGTGGGTATTGACTAGTGTTTGGGGGTGGGAAGAGTCTAGTTCACCTCTGCATCTCTCCACGTGGCCTTGCCTGCACAAGGTGGGGTGCTTAGAAGGCCTGTTGAATTGATGAGTAGGCAGAGAACAGTAACACCGGGAGGATGTGCCTGGTGCCCTTGGAGCGGCCGCATTCAGTGCTGTGGAAGGCTAGGCCCCCTCTGAAGGATGAGGGCTCAGGGAGGGCTGCCTGGAGGAGGTGACATTTGAGTTGGGCCTTGATGAGCAGGGGGATTTGGATGTGGGAGATGAGGTCATGGGCTCTGGGGACAGAGGAAGATAGACAAAGAGGAAGGAGAAAGGGACGGACAGAGGGACCTAGAGCAGGATGCCTGTACTTGGTCAGGGGCTGCTGGAATCTGAGTTCTGACTCTTGTCCCTTGAGGGTGTGACACAAGCTGCTGCGTCCCCAGCACCTGGAACAGTGCCCAGTGTACAGTAGGTGCTCAATGTGTTGGGTGAGGGAAGCAAAGGAGGCAGAGGGATGGAGCAGCTGGCACCGGGGCGGGCACCGCTGTCTCCCTCCCCTCCTGCTGCTGCTGCTGGGAGAGGAGAGGAGCGTTCTCTGAGGAGAATGTAAATTGCACGTCCCCCTCCTGCTCGGGCTGGGCTGCGGAGACAGTGGGAGTTGAAGAGACGTCAGAGCCCCACATGGGCCAGGTTGTCACAGTCACCTGCTTAGACGCAGACATGGCTCCCTGCCCGCCTGTGGCGGCCCCTGACACCTCCTGCCCCCCATCCCTCCACTCCAGGTTGGGGCAAGAGAGCCTTGGAGAGCCCGATAGCATTCCCAGGATGTCCCTGTGACAATGACAGTGACAACAATGAGACTATGGAGAGAGCGCGTGATGGGAGGGGGCCGGAAGAGAGGGAGAGTCCTAGGAGGTAAAGTCAGAGAGAGGCAAGAGAAGGCGATTGCTGCCAGAGGAAGTTTAGTGGAGGAATGACAGCTCCCCTAAGAGCTGACCCTTAGTGCTCACCGCCTGCCAGGCGCTGTTCTGAGTGCTTTGCCTGAATTCCCTCGTGTGACCCTCACAGCCTTAGGAGACAGCTATTGTAATTATTCCCATTGTGCAGCTGAAGAAACTGAGGCCAGGGGAGGTGAAGTCACTTGCCCAAGTTGTTTTTCAGCTGGTGAGAGGCAGAGCTGGGATTTGAGTTTAAGCAGTGTAGCTCCCCAAATTCTACTTGAAACTGTCTCCCTAGGAAGTGTGGGAGGGGCTGGAGCTGAGGAGGGAGGCTGGGGGGAGAGCAGACAGGAGAGGCTGGCAGGTGGACACATCGCAGGAGGCTGGCTTATCCCCGGGATCCTGTTCAGGAGCCTGATTCCCTCGTCTCAGGGTTGGGTCCTTGTTCCAGTGTCTCAGGAATTATTAGGGGAAGGTCAGGAGCCCCTCCTGGGCTCTTGAAATCAGGGGCCTGGGGCTCTTCTGCAGGCTGACATGCGTATCCTGCAGGAGCGCATGCTTGGCCCCCCACCCTCTGGGGAATGGAGTGTGGGCTGGGGCCGGTGTGCCAGGGCCCTGCTCTGGATGTGGGCCAGGGTCTGAAGGCTTCTAACGAGACTGACCCCACAGGGGATGCCCGGACATCCATCTGTCCATCCTGCTCACCACCTGGGCTGAGCACCACCTGGGCCTAGACAGGAGCTTGGAAGGAGGAATAGGGAGGAGTGAGAAGGAGCCACCTCATCTTGGGGGGCCTCTGTTTCCATCTGCCGCATGCTGTGAGGCCTGGCTTGAGCAAGTCCAGAAACCGGAGTGGGCCTCCTTCCCTCTCCCGGGAGCCAAGGCCCGGTGGGAGGAAACACCAGAAGTAGGGACAAGCTTCTGATCAGGAGGGGCGTGGAGGCAGGCAGGGGATGATCGCTCCTGGCTGAGGCGCAGCAGAGGCCAGCGAGAGACGTAAACAAAACACTTGTCTCTCAGGGACCTCCCCCCAACAAAGAACTAACCTCCCCTGCACAGCGTGAAGAGTGCAAAGGCTGAGAAACTGCTCTAAAACACAAGATTTCTTAAAAACAAACCAGCCATGACTCGAATACCATTTTCAGACCTCAAAAATAACAACCTTAAAGTGAATTAAAAAATATCCAGTCAGAGCTCACATTTTAGAGGGTGCTGTTTTTATGCTAAGTGTTCTCCAAGGCAGAGAGGACTGGGCTAGTTTTCAGTCACTGCTGACAGAGCAGGCGAGGGGACACATAGATTCAGGTATATTCAAGTGTGGTTTGCTTTCCAAATGGATGAAGATGTGCATGGTTCAACACTGGAAACCTACAAAGGGTAGAAGGTGAAAGGTCCCTGCCCAATCCTGTCTCAGCCACTTGCTTTCCTCCCCTGAGGCAATGCACGTGTTTTGTTTCAGAGCAGCGAGTATGCACTTCCCCTTTCACACAGTAAACAGCTTCCACCTGCATGTTGCCTCCTTATTGCTATTATTTTTACCCCACAATATCTTGGAGACCAACCCAGAGCAGTGCCTGGAAATCAGCCTCGTTCCTTTTCACAGCTGTGTAATATTCCTTATCTGGCTGGAACTTCTTTAAACAATCCCCTCTTGATGGACATACAGGTTGTTTCCAAAGTTTTACTGTTATAAACAGTGCCAGTGGATAATGTAGTACATGCCATTTTATAAAGACCACAAGAGCTACAGTGAGGGGGTTTGGGAGTTAACCCTTGCTCTGCTTAGAACCCTAAGGTTCTCTCCTGTCTGCTCTCCCCTCAGCCTCCCTCCACAGCTTCTCCCACACTTCCTAGGGAGACAGTTTCAAGTAGAATTTGGGGAGCTACACTGCTTAAACTCAAATCCCACCTCTGCCTCTCACCAGCTGAAAAAAAACTTGGGCAAGTTACTTCACGTCCCCTGGCCTCAGTTTCTTCAGCTGCACAATGGGAATAATTACAATAGCTGTCTCCTAAGGCTGTGAGGGTCACACGAGGGAATTCAGGCAAAGCACTCAGAACTTAGGGTTTCTAACCCTTGCTTAGAACCCTTGCTTAGAAAATCCAAAAAACCAGTTAACTGTTTCCCCTACCCACATCCTCACCCGTGAAGGTCTCAGTGGTTTGGGCTTTTCCCACAGGGGAGGCGGACAGTGAGCCATCTGGGCCATGCTTTTGGCAGTGGGCATTCTCAGGGGAGGGTGGACCCTCCCTGCCCCAGTCAACTTCCTTATTGTCATTTGTCCGTTTATTAAGAGGCTGTGGGGCATACTACGCGTTGACACTCCCCATCCTGCTCTGCTCCGGCCACACAGGCCCCTGGCTTGGCCACCCACACACCAAGCTCATTCCGCAGGGAGCTGCTGCTCCCTGGGCTCCGATACCTTCCTATCCTTGCTCATGCTGGCTCTGCTCGGCCGTCGCCTCCCCAGAGAGGCCTTTCCTGGCCTTGCCACCTGCCACCCTGATGTCCCACCCCCTTATGCCACTCTGTGAGGCCTCATGGCTGTGGAGAATGGTCCCGGTACTTGTTAGCTTGCTTGCTCCTCTCCTCCCACCAGAAGGAAGCTCCGTGAGTGTTTTATTCACTGCTGTCCTCAGCACTCGGGACATCATAGGTGCTCAATAAAGTATTTGTTGAAGTGAACAGAGTTGAATGTTGGGATATTGAGGTGGGGCTTCTAGGTTGGCAGAAGCTCTGCCCTGTCCTGAGGAGGGGAGCTGACTGGTCTGGGAGGTGGTCCTGGGGATAGGGACACATTAGGCTTTAGCCAAGTGGGCAACCACTTGCCAGGTGCACCCCCAACCTCCCACCTGGCACCACTTGCCAGGTGCACCCCAAGTATTCCTGTCCCAGGAACATTTCCCCACCCACGGTTGCCACTGGGCCTGAAGTCCTGGCAACAGGTTTCTTGGCCAGGATTGAATCTGAGTGATTCCTTAGGGGCATAAAATCTTAGTTTTGACACCAGCCGGGATCAATATGCATTCCCCACCCCTGTACCCTTGGACAACTGAGTGGGCAGAGGGCACACAGGAAGGAGAAGTGTTCCTGTGGGCCAAGCGGCGAGTGGAGCCCACAGGCCCTGACCAGCCAGGAGAGCAGAGCAGTGGGTGGGGCCCTGGAAGGGAGGGGTGGAGAGGAGGGACCATACCCCTTCCCTGTCCTGGGGATGGTTGGGTGTATCTACAGGAGGCATGGGGGTCTGAGTCTCATGCCTGCCTGGGGAGGGTCCAGGTGAGGCCTGTGGAGGCAGGAAGATGCCCTGTGACTAGAAAGCCCTGGGGCTGGGGCAGGGCCCTGGGTCAGCTCTGCCTTGGAGAGGTTGTGGGACCCAGCAGGGTGGTGACTCTCTGGGCTCAGTGTCCCCAGCTGCAGAGAGAAGGGACTTCCTGAAGCCCACCCTGCTAGCTTCCTGGGCTTCCATCCTTGGGGGTGGAGTAGGGGACGGGGGAGCTGGAATCGAGGCTCCATCTCCTCTGAGCAGGGCACGAGGAAGGAGGCTGAGCTGGCAGAGAGCTGTGGGGACAGGGTCTGCTGGGTCCTGACCAGAGGGGCTGCCTGGGGACATGGGATGGGCCACCTGACCCCTCAGGGCCCCTCCTAACACCCAAATCCACAGGCTGAATCATCTCATGTATGTGGGGATTTTCCCTGGGCTGGGATCTTTGAACTCTTTGTGTAAATTGAGGCAGCCAGAGGCTCCCAGGATGTATGTGTGTGTGGTGTGTGTACGTGTGTGTGTGTGTGTGTGTGTTTGTGTACCTGCGCGTGGTTGGAGTGTCTTTGGGGACCCCAGGGAGGCTGGTTGGGAGACTTTCTGGAGGAGGAGGCAGTGCCCATGGGGAGGGGTGGGCTGTAGTGGTCCCAAGGCTGTGGGGACCAGAGGGAGGTTGGTGTGTAGGGGAGTGGGGCTGGCTCGGCGGGGTGGGGGCAGCCGCCACCCTCAGCAGCCCCTTTCGCCCCTCAGATACCCCAGATCAGCTACGCCTCCACCGCGCCAGACCTGAGCGACAACAGCCGCTACGACTTCTTCTCCCGCGTGGTGCCCTCGGACACGTACCAGGCCCAGGCCATGGTGGACATCGTCCGTGCCCTCAAGTGGAACTACGTGTCCACGGTGGCCTCGGAGGGCAGCTATGGCGAGAGCGGTGTGGAGGCCTTCATCCAGAAGTCCCGTGAGGACGGTGAGTCAAGCGCCTGGCTGCGGGGTCATGCGGGGCTTGGGGGCATGTGACTGACCCACCGAGAGCCCCCAGCCGGAGCCTGATGCGGGCTCTGACTGCCTGGCTGTTGCCAGGTGGGCCTTGTCCTCCTCTTTGAGCCCTGCAGTTTGGCCCATGGCCTCACTGGGCTCTGGGTGACTCCTGTGCACGGCAGGTATGAGGCCTTCGCAGATGTGGGTGTGCAGATGAGGGCACTGTTGACCTCCCTGGTGCGGGAGCCTGCAGGGTGGCTGCTGTCCTCACAGCAGAGGAAGGGACGGGGTGGGGACGAGGGCCTTGTTTAGAGGGCTGTCAGGGACTCGGGAGATGGGTGGACAGCCAGGCAGGCTCTCAGAGGAATGAGGAATTTGGAGGCCCTAAAATTGACCTGTCTGTGCTGGGGGTGAGGGGTGAAGGGCCGCGGGTGACCTGTGCTGGTTTGGGCATCAGTGAAGAAGGTGTCCCTGTGGGTGGAGTCTGAGGAACTGGCAAGTATTTATTCTCCTTGAGGTCTTCCCCTCATACCCTGATGCCACCTTCCCCCATTAAGCTTGCTGCATTGCCTTAAATTGCTGTCCTCAGATGCTCTGTGATAAAGCTTTCAGGTGTCCCCAGAGATAAGCGGCTGAGCAGTAACAAGGGTTAACCCCTTGGCAGGTGACTCCCACCTAGCAGGGCCCGCAGAGACCCACCTAGCAGAGACCCTGGCTGGGTCTCTGCTTCTGCTGGTGCCCTGGGAGGGCTGGCTGCGTGGGCTGCAGCTGTGGGCATCTGGGAGCAGCAGGCAGCCCTGGGCTGGGGGGCCTTCACCTGGGCTGGGGTGAGCCAAGATGGGACGGCTCCTAGGAGGTTGTGGGGCTGAAGGATGGTGCCTGTGACTTCCTCGGGGCCCTGTTGTGGTGTGTGGGGGAAGCGGGGAGGCCCTTCTCCCTCCTGGCAGACCCACCTCCTGCAGAGAGGGCCCGTCTGCCCTGCCCCTGGTCTCTCCCAAAGCCCTGCCTCTACACAGCTTGCCAGTGCCTGAGACCTTGGGTGATAATGTCTGTATATTTATACCCTCATGGCCTCAGGACTCTAATTGCTTTTCCTAAGGACTACAGGGTGTCCAGAGGCTGCCGTTGATAACACCCCGTGAGCATAATGCTGCTATAAATCTCAGATAAGCCTCTTTAATTGTACTGCTGAAGCTGCTTGGGTGCCTCCACCTGGTGGAGGGGGCAGCGAGGCGGTGGGAAGTGGGGCAGCGCTGACTGATGGCTGAGGCTCCAGGCCACTCTGCACTCCGGCAGCCTGGCAGAGCAAAAGGAAGCAGAGGTGAACAGTACTCCATCCTACCTCCAGGCGGGCTGGCAATAGCACCTGGGGACCCTGGCAGACAGTGTCAGAGCCTCAGAACCCCAGAGCCCAGCCCCTCCCTCGGGCTACCCACATGTCCTTTCCTCCTTTGCTCAGACCCAAGACCTGGGCACCTCCCTCTGGATGGCACCTCCTACCCTACTCTGCTGGTTCCTTTCCTCCTTTGCGGCTTGAACTCTTCCCCACATCAGCCTCCTGCCTTTTCTGTTCAAGGCATGACCTTTGCAGGATTTAGGGACAAAGGTATAGGATGGGGGAAGGGATCGAGGGCCATGAGTCTCTGTGTTCAGTTGTGTTCAGTCCCTGCCCTGAGGGACCTCAAAGCCACCCCCAGTGCTCATGCAGGCCTCCCTCTGTGCCCAGCACCTGCTGTCCTGGACAGTCCTTCCTGCCATACGAGGTAGATGCTGCCTCATCCCCATTTTGCAGGAGAGGAAGTGCAGGCACAGAGAGGCTGAATAGTAGCTAGCACCAGGCCACACAGCAAGTAAGAGGTGGAGAAGGGATTTGAACCCAGAAGGGCTGGCTCTGGAACTAGAGGTCTCACCTGTTTCTGTACTCTTGTCTTCTCTGTCTTCTGTCATTTGCGTGCTCACTGAGACCCACCTGGGCCAGCCCCTGTGCAAGTGCTAGGGTATGACAGGCACACACAGGTATGCCCATGTACACACAGCCTGGAGGGACAGGAGAGGCATGGGATAGGGGTGCGGTCTGGGCACTGTGTTTTGGCTGAAGGTAAGCCTATTGTTTACTTTTTTTTAAATCAACATCTAATCAAGTATTGGGTGGTTAGGAAAAAAAAAGTCTACTCAAGATTTTTTAAAAGGACTTCATGATCTAGAAAACTAAAATTTGCTATTATGCGAAGGCCTTTAGCATGGGGCACTCCTGTCCTGGCAGAGGTGCCCCTCACAGTGCCTGCCACGCCCCATGCACCATCTGCACCTGCCTGAGGGCCTGGCTTCCTGCTGGACTGGGCCTCCCACGTCCCCAAACTTCCAAGGCTACCCCATGCCAGTGTGCAACAGCCTACGGGGGCCTGGCCAGGGCAGGTTAGGCAGCTAGATCTCCTCGCGCAACCCAATAAATGAAATTTGATTTGGAGGAACATCTTTTAGAAGGTGAAAAGAAAGGGAGAGAGAGAGCTGCACTCCAGCTGGCCAAATTGAAATCAGAATTGAGAGGCCGGTAGAAAGAGGCCGCTGTACCTTGTAGCCTAATCCCTGCGAAAGATTAAAGATGTCTTTGGCTGTATATTGTATTGATTCGTCCTCTGAAGTATAAATCATCTGTGAGTTGCTCAGAGGAGCGCCGGGGAGGGGAGTGGTGGGGAGAGCGTGCTGGCCAGGCTGGGATGCATGTTGGAATTGTGGTGAGCGAGTCCTAGGTGCCAACTGTGTGCTGGGCTCTGGGTCCTTCAGAGGAGCATGACTATGGCCATTTTATAGATGGGGAAATGGAGGCCAGAGGGGGTGGGTCACTTTCCCAAGGCCACAGAGCCAGAACACGGAGGAGCTGGGATGGGAACCTGGCTCTGTCCTTCAGGTGGGGAGCCCATAGGTGGCACCTGGAGTGGCTCAATACTGACTGGGCCACTGGCACCAGGCCTAAAGGAAGTCCTGGCACTGGCATTCCCCACCTCCACCCTTGTCCACACATGCTCTGGGCAATCCTGTGGCCCTGCCTGGACCAGACGCCCCCTGTGAGTATTACAGATCCTGGTAATGACCATGCAGCGAAGTGCAGCACCGGCGGGCTAGGTGTTTTGTCCCCATTTTGCAGATGGGAGAACTTAGCCTCAGAGCAGTGATGTGGCTTGCCTAGGGTCACACAGCCTAGTGCCGGAGCAGGACTTGGAGCTAGGGCTATCAGGCCAGGCACTCTACCTATATGCCCTGTCTTCTCCAGCTTGCATTGCAGAAGTGGCGGCAGGTGCATAAGAGGTCAGGCTCCTTCAGGCAGACCTGTGCCCTGGCTCAGACGCTGACTGGCTGTGCGATCTTGGGAAAGTCATTTCGTCTTTCTGGGCTCAGTTTCTTATCTGTGAAATGGGAATAAAGCAGGATATAAGAGTAAAATATGCGGCTGGGCACAGTGACTCACACCTGTAATCCCAGCACTTTGGGAGGCCGAGGCAGGCGGATCATGAGATCAGGAGTTCGAGACCAGCTTGGCCAACATGGTGAAATGCCGTCTCTACTAAAAATGCAAAAATTAGCTGGGCACGGTGGCACGAGCCTGTAATCCCAGCTACTTGGGAGGCTGAGGCAGGAGAATCGCTTGAACCTGGGAGGTGGAGGTTGCAGTGAGCCAAGATCATGCAACTGCACTCCAGCCTGGGTGACAGAGCAAGAATCCGTCTTAAAAAAAGAAAAAAAAAAAAAAAGAGGAATGAAATGTGCTCCTGGCACATGCCGGCAGGAGCTCAGGAATGCGCACCGGAGTGTTTGTCAGGGTCTGGCTGTCTGGGTCCCAGCCCTACCTGGGGCCTGGCTAGTCCTGGGAGGCCTGGGAAGTGCTGGGCCCCGTGCTGTGCCCTAACTGGGAATACAGGTGTGTCCAGGGACGGGGCTAGAGACAAAACTACAGGAGCCCAGCCTAGCTTGGTTCTTAGGGGATGGCTGGTCTGGTGGGGAGAGGGCAGCAAGGTGAACTCCAAAGGCAGCTAGGCCAGGACGTGTGTGTGTGCGTGTGTATGTGCATGTGTGTGTGCGTGTGTGTGTGTGTCTGTGTGTGTGTCTGTGTAGGGGTGTGTGTCTGGGAAGTTCTGGTCATGTGACTGGCAGGCTTGCCTTGGTGGGGGTATCTGTAGACCGGGTCTGTGTGTGTGTGTGGGGGGGGGGTTGTGTGTGTGTGTGCGGGCATGTGTGGACCTTCTGGCTGCAGCCAGGACTCCCTCCTCCCTGTCAAGGCCGAGGCTGCACCAGGGAAAGGCAAGGAGACTGCCCTTCCCTCCCGGGCTCCTCCGCGGCGTCACCAGGGCTGGATTAGACATGCAGAGCAGGCCCCGCCTGGGCTCTGGAGATAACGCCAGTGAGTCACCGAGGAGGGAGAAAGGCAGGCAGTGGCAAGCGGGTGGCACAGACGTGGGCACAGATCTGGTAGGTTTTCTTTTTTTTTTTGAGACGGAGTCTCGCCCTGTCACCCAGGCTGGAGTGCTGTGGTGTGATCTCAGCTCACTGCAACCTTCACCTCCCGGATTCAAACGATTCTCCTGCCTCAGCCTCCCAAGTAGCTGGGACTACAGGCGTGCGCCACCATGCCTGGCTAATTTTTGTATTTTTAGTAGAGATGGGGTTTCACAATGTTGGCCCGGTTGGTCTTGAACTCCTGATCTCAGGTGATCCACCTGCCTTGGCCTCCCAAAGTGCTGGGATTACAGGCATGAGCCATGGTGCCTGCCTTTTTTTTTTTTTTGGAGATGGGGTCTCACCCTCTTGCCCAGGCTGGAGTGCAGTGGTACAATCACAGCTCATTGGAGCCTCAACCTCCCAGGCTCAAGCAATCCTCCTGCCTCAGCCTCCCAAGTAGCTGGAACCACAGGCATATACCACCATGCTTGGCTAATTTTTTTTTTTTTTTCATTTTTTGTAGGGGTGGGGTCTCACCATGTTGCGTGGGCTGGC